AAGAGATGCTGTAAGCAGACGATGATGAAGAGGAGGAGGAAGAGTCCAACACAGGAGGAGCGACAGTGTCTGAAGGTGACTTTAGGATGAAGATGAGGAGGAGGAGGAGGAGAGGCTTAGATTTTCATTTCCAGGAGATCACCAGATTTAATATGAAGGGGGGGGGGGGTGTGTGACGGGGATGAAGATGATGTGGAGGAAGAGTAGCAGCGATGGATGAAGGAAACCAGTGAGTCCTGTCTAAACCAGGACCGAGCACCAACCGGACCTCAGAATCGAACCTCTGATGACTCATTAAGAAAAGACTCCTGTTTGTCCTGTGCTGATCGAAGCAACCTGGGACTGGTTCTGACCCGGTCTGTGTCTAAACCAAACTGAGGCGGAGAAACGAAAAGATAAAAATACAGAAATAAAAGCTCTAAAACGTCTGCGAGCCGAGCAGAGCGTAAAAATCTGAGGTGGAAAGAGACGCTGAGAAAAGAAAGTGAAATATTCATCTGTGTTCTGAAAGCTTCGACAAACAGGAGCAGCTTTTAATGGATGTTAACAGAAACAAGACGGTTTTATTTCATGACTGATGCTCCTCCACCGGTCCAGGTCTGCTTCTGGTCCACTCTGAAGGTCCACAAGCCTGGACTTACACAATCCAAGCAGAACCATAGTCTGATGGCTGACCCAGTCCTGGTCCAAACAATGGAACAACACGAGCGTTCCTATAGGCTTATTGAGCTGTCAGTCAAAGGCTGATGCTAATGCTAATGCTAGCTATACTTAAAGGAGTTGATCCGTAATGGTTAAAGCAGATTTAATATTTTTATTCTTCTGACTCTCTGCTCCTCCTGAAGAACTGTTGGAAGGTCCCCATAGACCAGCATCRAATGTCACCTGAACCCTCAGCTCAGACCCTGAGTCCTGCTGGGCTTTGTGGACACYGGAGTTCAGTTCTGGATGACCACCAGAACCTGGACACACAGACAGGTTCTGGAGCTGCTCTGTGGGATCAGGTCTCAGGTCAGAGGAACCAGAGTGGCCTGAGCCAGATCTGGATCTGGATCTGGATCTGTGTCACTTCACAGATGAAGACTTTGGTGGCAGCAGGGTCACGTCTGAGTGTGTGCTCCTGTTTATCTGCTCCACGCTGCGCAGCCTCCCTCTGCTCCTCAGTCCTGAAGCTTGTATGATGGACACACTCATTCATTATTGAACACACACACACACACACACACACACACACACACACACACACACACACACACACACACAC